TGCGTTTGTGTGATCAATCTGCATACGCGCGAGCTTGCTTTACATTGTGCAATTAAAACGATCGGTTAATCTTAATCTCGTTGGCACGAATTTGCAAACTATGACAAWTTATTTCATGTTYATCTGCGCCAAACTAGCAGATTTAAACATCTAAAGGACAAATRAAGACAGCTTCTAAACYTTGCTGAATTTTGGATCGAGCCAATGTTTTTTCGAGTCCTTGTCCTGACGATTTTCCCGACTTGATTSCTTTGGACTTTTTCTCTGGGGACAACTTGACAATTAAGTTTGTGATTCAACAGTTGAAGCTATTGATTTTGGCGGTTTTAAAAAAACATGTTTTTATTCAAAATTGAGTTAAATAATTGGCGTTTTCTGCAGAATCGTTAATTTATTGAAATTGTTTGGAAAACGTACGATTTTCTATAAAAACTGCATCTAGGAAAATTGCAATCGCTTGAAAATCCTGGAAATTATGATGATTTTAAGGTCAAGAGAACATCAGATTGTTTGCAAAGTATATTCTCGACACTTTGCAAACGACGAACATAAAAACTATGATTTTTTTTTCTAATGTTGGAAATTTTCGAATTTTAAAAAACGGTTTTTGGGCAAATTTTTCACTTAAGAGTCGAATGTATTCCAAAATTTCACTTTTCAATAACATCGTTTTGTTATATAGTTTCGGAGAAAATGGAGTTTGGAGTTAGAGAGACTTAAACTGCTATCCACATTGTTTCCACACTAATTTGCCCATAATTCCGCAAAAATTTTCCAGAATTTGTTGTTATAGAAGCTTTTTTGCTCTTTTTACCTTGTATTTTTATACAAATGTTGCCCACATTTTCAGGAGAACCTTGCATAAATGCCTAAAGTTACACCTTCAGAGAACAACATCGTTTATGTAAAACTAGTTGAATCTTCAATTAGGAAAATTTGTGAGAGTTTTTTTAAATGCAATCAACTTCATTGCTTCACTCTTAAGAACTCTTAGTTTGAATCTTAAGTTTAATCACTCTTAAGTTTGAATGCATATAAAATTCCGCTCATGTTAAAGACCTGAAATCAACCTCCACCTTACATCTAGAGAGTCCCACCTAAATCCAGCAATTGCGTGTTTTTACTGTTTCCTAGACTTTTAACTTAATGGCCGAAAGCTTTGCGAGTACTCGGTTAACTTTCCGGCAACTGTTGTCGAATTTGTTCAACTTCTTGAGGCTGACACTTGAAACTGATGAATGTTTGTAGATCAACATAATAAATTGCAGCCGGGGCTGCAGCTTTTAAATTTTGCATTTAATGCTGGTGTATTGCGCTATTTGAAAAGCTTTTAAAGCCATTTTCCGCTATGGAAATTGCAATGTTTCGCTTCTTTTCTACGCAGAAATCACATGTTATTTATATAAATTTGTGTTAACTGATAGTCATTAATTATATGAATAAATTAATTGAATAACCCGAAACAAGCCCATTAATTCCAGTTAAAGTTCCATCTAGCACTCAAACACTAATTATAACGTATATTTATCGGTAATTTGACTAGTGAGATAACAATACTGTTTGTTAATAGAATGTTTTTGACTATTGCTGTTATTATTAGTATTAAATGATTCACATTTTCATCGTTTTAAATGAATTCTAATAGAAATACGCATTTTTTGGGTCATTTTCCTACCAGAAAAATAAGCAAAAGTACATTTTAGGTGACTAAAGTTAACGCAACTTTAAAGAGCATTAAAAAGTTTTCATATGAAAAACTGATTGCTGATGTTCGCCCAACCACCACCATAGTCCCATAACTTCATGACGCACCCCACACAAAAAAAATGTTCAGCTGAACATTTCGACGCGTCGCAATTGCCGAGATTAAGTTTTTCTCCGGCAAACTGAATTTGCAGCATCTGCCAGAACAAAAGTCTTATTTTTCTTCGGGTAATCCAATTTTGTTGCGGTCTAGAGACGTGAATATTTTCCTAACAACGTATTTGACCGGAAACATCGAGATAATTCCATCCGCATTTGGCTTCTGCCGGAACGGGAGAACGTTTGATGAATATTCTGCAATGTTTGTTTGGATTCCATCCATTGAATTTCCATGTTAATTTCCCCAAAAACTCACCAAAATTTTAAGTAGTTTACCTTAAATAAAAGCCAAAATAATCGACTTGGTTCATGATAACTGAACAGAAACCCACAAAGGCACATGGCATTTGTCTAGCTATCAAAATGTTAATCTTTCCGGGCGCTAATCGCATGAACTATCTGGGCTTAAAACCCAATTACACATATTGCAAAAGAAACAAATTAATCTTGCAGAGCAAGCAATAAAACTGAAACCGTTAATGGCTTTTAAAAGTTGCTGGTAGCTAAATGATGGCCTGGCTTAGACGACAATTAGCCGGCAGCTTTTTCCTTCGGTTATGAGCAGGAAAATTATAGTCAACCAAAAAGTGTCACATGTAATATAATTGTGATTAAGTGCTTGTTAAAACTCGGCAATTTCCTTTTTCGGAAACGTTACATCGAGGATTAAAGCGGCGGTAGCAGTCGTTAATGGATTGCTTCCTTTTAACATAATCCGTCCATTTCTTTGCTTCTATCATTAAGGGCTTTTTTCGAATTTGGGAATCTGCTGCAGATTTTTAATCCGCAAAGAACTCTGAGATTGGAAAATTGAATGCGTAATTGAAAAATGGTCGCAGTAAAGCGCTTCAAAGCCCAGAAAAGTGTCCTTTTATAAATTTATTTTACGGTTATCTTAACTCTGGCAAACGGTTTGAAGTGTTTTTTTTTCTATTCTAGGTGTCGTTTTTCTCCACCAGTCCTGAGCTGAGCAACAAGCAACGTTTCGAATACTTTTCGCGCACAATACCATCCGATCATCACCAGGCGAAAGCCATGGTCGACATCGTCATGCTAATGGGCTGGAGTTACATTTCAATTATCTACGAGGAATCAAACTACGGCATTAAGGTATTATTTATACAAAACTGCTGAAATCCATCGCAAAATATCCTCAAATTGTTCCCGAATAACCGTTTTATTATAAATATTCCTGTGCTATTGAGGGGGGCCCACACCTTTATTGCGTTGGGGGAGCGAAGATTAGATGTAAATGTATTCGCTGCAATAAACTGAGCGCAATCTGAAAGAAACAATTTATTTGGCTGTAACACAATCCTCCCCTAGTCCTCTTATTCGGTTTAATTTTCTTTTGAAAGTTTAACTTCATTCAATGTTTTATTTAAGTCTATTTAAGACTTTTCTATACTGTAGCAAGGTTTCCTCAAATAAATGCACGTTCCAACTTTGGACCTAAACTATCAATTTTTGTGTGTGCATTGAAATATTATTGCGCAAAAAAAGCACAAAGTGTTCGATTATTCTGAATTTTAATTTGAGTATTAGTTAAGCCGTTCGTCCATTGAAGGAAAAGCTAAACCTTGTTTAAAACCTACTAAAGACTTATTTGAGCGAAATCCTGCCGTTCGTTAAAATCAGTTTGACACCAATTAAACTTTTGACCTGTTAATCCATTCTTGGCCGTATAAAAATTATAACTTTTATACTGAAACCTGGAACTTTTCGCTTAAAATGCAAATCGACACTAATTAACGTGAAGAGGCAAGAAGCAGGGCCCAAGCGAAAAACTCTCCTATAAGGATTTGCAATTTTCGGTACGACTCAAATCACAAAACGAAATAATAAAACGACGTTGTTAAATCATTTATACACGAACACGTTGGGCCGTAGATAAGGAAATCGCCGATAAAATTGTAAAACTATTCGCCGTTTTAGTGCAAAGAAACCAGTTTTTTTATCAGAAAAAGTTGTGTTTCAGCACGCAACTTGCACGGTGTTTTTGTATATTCCAATTTATTTCGAATAACGTAATGCTTCGATAAAGCCCTTAGAGCTGAATAAGCAATAATGGCACACAATACAACCCAAGCATACAGAAAATAGTGCCTTAGGGATCGACAATGACTGGGCCTTTTGTATATTTTTATCAAACCTACATTTCGTCTAGCATCTAAATTGCTTCGGTTAGTGAGAAGTCGTACTTAAGCATCTATTGACGGCTGGAAATGTAATTAGTGCAATCAGAATAACGGAGAGAAGATTTTCCTTTTGTCTCCGATGTTTTGTTACACGCCATAGAAGCCAAGTGAAGTTCAATACTTAGAGTAACACGGGAAAATAATAGAGGAGTTGGTGTTTGTAAATTAAATAAATGCAATCAGAAAGCAGCACAGAAGATTTTAAGTTTGTCTTTGATGTTTTGTTACAAGCAATTGAACACAAATGATTCAGTTTGCAGAAGCAATTGAAGGCCAGTTTTACATCTTCTTCAATCGCTTGGACAAATTGATGTGTGTTCATTGCTTGTAACTAACCAACAGAGACAAATTTGGAATCTTCTTATTTTGGAATCCTCTTGTTTAATATTACATTATAAAATGTGAGACTTCAATACAAAAAGACGATATAAACCACCTCGTTCAAAAAATTATGAAATTGTTATATATTTTTTGGAAAACCGACCAAATTTTGTCCATCTGGGATTTGTTTGGTATCCATTTTTGAAATAAATATTTAATAAGTTTAATATTTTCGAGTCACGAGCTTCGCACTTTTCCTTTTCAGGCTTTCGAAGTCCTCGAGGATTTGATGGTAAAAAATAAGATTTGCATCGCCGTGAAGGAAAAGCTGGTTAAAGATTCAGGCGTCGGAAATATATCTGTCTACGATAATATCGTGCAAAAACTTCAAACGAAACCCCGAGCCAAAGGTAGGTGATTTCCAGCTATTTCGCAAATTCAGTTGCTACAACATGCGAACTGATGACCAACGAAAAACACCGGTCTTTAAGGCCCAAATTGCTTTTTTTCTATTTATGATTAAAACACGCAGCAAATTTAATACATTTTGTTGCTGCGACTTTCAATGAACGTTGTTAAATCTCTGTTAATAGGCTTTTGGATACACAATCAAAATCGGATAGATGGAAAATCCGGCATTTATTACCGGTAAATTAAAATTATCGATCACTTTGCCGAAGTATTCCGGTTACAACGACTTGAAATTAAAATTTCAAATGGGGTTTACTTGCGAGCTGGAGTGTTTTTTTACAGCGTTCACCCTGAAAGTTAATGCACCGTTCACTGAGCAACGATTAATTAAATTTAAATCGAAATTAATTAATTACCGGTGTCCACAATAAACATTTGAAAAGGCATTTGCCTTTTCAGCTGCGTGTCTCACAATTGATGGGTTTCGCAAAAATTAACGATTCGCTTTGCCCCGAAGAAATAATTATGAAAACGAAAATAAAATCGCCGAACAGCCGAAAAGGATCACGTAGCGTTGAAAATGGAAAAGCCGAGCCGAATTTTAATCGCCCATGGCCAGATTAGTTGCAAAAAGTAATCAGGCCAATTTTCACGCCTTAGTTCGAATTCAAATCACATCGAAATCGAGACAAACAGCACTATTTAATTGTATGCAAATTGTATGTTTCAATTAGATTTCGCTCTCCACCCAGACAATTTCAAGCTTCAACTGTTGGTTGTAGGGCAAATCAAATTAATTCAATTTAAAAAAATCCTGCATTCCTTTCGAAATTGATTGCCGGATTGGCATAAAGTGATTTATTGAATTTCCCTGAAGTTCCCATTTTAGTAAAGTGGTTTATTTATTTAATTTTACAACCTTCGTTGGATTAACTAACTGAAAAATCAATCGGCTAATGGAGCTGGCTTTTAATTAATTTGCAGTGGCGCAGGTGCATATTTAAAGTATTTTTGAAATTAAACTATTAGTGTTATAATGAAAAATTGCAAGCAAAATACGAACCAGGCAACTAAAGTCGACCAGGAGAATAACCTATCGGCYCATTYGTATTTAATCTAAAACTCGATTGTGCTGATMAGGTGCTCTGTGCGCTCCTTTGCACGCCCGYGCCGCACTCCGCTACCCCCYAACCCTGTTAAACAAAGCCGTAATTTACGTAGMAATWTCGCTGCTTTTGATCCAGCGCCAAAYGCGTTATGGAGTAGCAGAATATCGGGACGASCTCCTTTCGAAATGGCCTCAAAATCTTATTGTATAATATTGAAATCCTYTCCAACCCCACAGGCCTTAAACTAAATTAGAGTTTCCCGGAAACTCTTCTAGATTACCTTATTCTATCAGCCTATTTACAACCTCTCGCAATATGTAGCTGATTATATTACCGCA